ATTAGAAAAAAATAGAAAAAACTAGAGTAGCACCCCGAGCCTTCGGGCTTCGGGGTTGGAAGCAGAGCTGCGTCGAAATTTCGATTTTCGACATTTTTTTCCTAAATAAATGTATAAATATGTAGTGTGTATCAGGGGTGTGCGAGTTTCGCCTTTCGTCTTTCGCCTTTCGCCGATTTTCGCCTTTTTTTGACTTTCGTCTTTCGCCTTTCGCCGTTCGCTTTTTCGGGCGAAAGGCGAAATTATTATACACCCCTAATGACGGCATGTGAGAAAAAGTTGGGAAAGGAAAAATCGGGAGAGGAAAAATTAGGAGAAGAAAAAAAAGAAAAACTGAGACGAGTGGGAATAAATACCTATATATAATTTTCTTTTGTTTGTTGGGCAAGTAATAGATGGTTGAGTGGTTACGTTGTTTGACTTCAACTAGAGATCATTTACTTATTGTTAGGTTCGAGTCCATGATTAGGGACAATGTTTTAATTCGTTTATAAATAAAATTGTTCTAATTTTTCTTTAAAAAATTTATTTTTATAATTGAAAAAGTGAATTTTCCTTGCCTTAGACACCTTATATTTTCAAAATTTTTGCCTGCGGCGCTGAAAAGGAAGAAATTTGCCTTCAAGGCTTTACAAAATTCTCAAAATTTTCGTCTGCGGCGGTGAAAAGGGTTAATACAGGTTATTTCCATCACGTAATCACCGGAAATAAAATTCCTACGACTTTAATAATATTCCTATTCGGCATCCGAATATTCCAGAATTTTGGATCAGGATCCAGGGATTTCCCAGGATTCTCATACCCTTTTTAAGACAACGAAGGGAAAAGTCTAGAGATCGGAAATTAGAAAATCAAAGTCAAATTTTTCCAGACATATCCTCTAACTTTCCTTTAAATCCCCGATATTCCTTCAACTCTTCTAATATCCTTCTTAATCCTACAGATCCCCTGATATCCCCGATTTATTGATTTAAGAAAGTTATCTGTAGATTTGGAACACTTAACAAGGCTTTTAAATTATTTTACCAAAGGATCTCTAGACTTATAGCCTAAACTGAAAAATTTCGCCTTTCGTCTTTCGCCTTTCGCCGATTTTCGCCTTTTTTGGACTTTCGTCTTTCGCCTTTCGCCGTTCGCTTTTTAAAATCACTTTCGCAATTTCGCCTTTCGTCTTTCGCTTTTTAAAATCACTTTCGGCACACCCCTGGTGTGTATGGACGGATGGAATTACGAGAGAAATTGAGTGGAAAATTTAAATGAAAAAAATAAAAATTAGAGTAAGGAAAAATAAAATTATAGTTTATGTAACTATTTCCCGCCACAGAATTAATTAAAATGGAGTTGGCATTGGCTCTGCATTTCTATGCCAATATTGTGTGTGTTTGTACCATTACTTCTATTAGCAATAAGAAAATGCTAATTATCCCATAATATTATAGATTTTAAAAAATTATTTTTATATTTCATTAAATATAAAATAAAATTGTTGGCAAAATTGTTAAAGAATACTAAAATTTAATATATTATGAGAATAATTTAGGTGTATTCGAACGTATTTAATAATCGTTTTGGGACGTAAAATTATCAGCTGAATAATCAAATAAATTTTCTAAACAAAAATCAGATAGCAGAAAGTTGACTTGAATGATTGGATTTAATCAATTTAGTTAACTTCGAAGCTTCTCTCTCATCTTTCTATGAATGAATATTTTATTCCATAAATAAAATTTTATTTAAAAAACTTAAATTAATTCAAAACAGCTAATTAAACACACAAAAAATTTAAATGAAAAGAAAAATTAATTTTTATTATCATTAATTTAAAAATGGTAATTGCCATATCGGGCATTTTACTAGCGTCATGCAGGATCCATCACTAAAAATTATTTTTTAAATTAAAGAAAAGTGGTTCTATTTTAGTTAATTTATTTGGAAATTAAGGGGGATTTGGTGAGGAGACATCCAATTAGTAAATAAAATAATTAAATTTTTATTCACAACGTTTACATGGCAATTCCTTCCGAAAATTCAAATGGAAAAATTAGAACTGATTGTGAGGAATGTGACGTTACGGCGCAGCCCAAGTGAGAGCGCTGTAAAGACGCGATCATCTTGGTATTACTGGATATTTCCAAATCATTTAATATTGGTTGGGGCATTCCCCCTCTATTTGAGGAGCATTTATTTAACTGGAGGTTTACCTTGGTTTTCTTCGGTCTCGGGTCTAAAATAGCCCCTCGACTCGATCTAGGCTTTTCCAGCCTCGGTGATCATCGCCTTGGTTTTTCAAAAAACCTCGACCTCTTGATATTGTATCTAAAAGACACAAGAAGTTTTTCTCAAAATGATAAAAACAAATTCAATTATAATACTAAAAGTGAGCTAATTGCTGATATAAAATTAGGTAGTCTTCTGATATTCCTTCAAATCCCTTGACATCCTCCTTTATCCTTGCAAATCATCTGCTATTCCCGATTTATGAGGTAAGAGGGGTTTTTTCTCAGTGATACCCTTATATCCTCAAACTTTTAATGCCCACAAATCCCCTTTAATCCCTCCAAATTCTATTATATCACCAGATATCTCCTCTGTTTCTTCCAAATCTTTTTTAATTTCCAAATAAATCTACGAAAATAGAATATCTTTTTTAATTTAAAATATTTTTCAGTGTGGAATGCAGGCATAACGCTTTTCAAAATGGCCGATGATGGCAAATAACCATTTTTAGATTAATGATAATAAAAATTAATTTTCTTTTTCATTTAAATTTTTGTGTGTTTAATTAGCTGTTTTGAATTAATTTAAGTTTTTTAAATAAAATTTTATTTATGAAATGAAATATTCATTCATAGAAAGATGAGAGAGAAGCTTGAAGATAACCAAATTGATTAAATCCAATCATTCAAGTCAACTTTCTTCTATTCAATTTTTGTTTAGAAAATTTATTTGTTTATTCAGCTGATAATTTTACAAACTTAAATGAGAGTTAAACACGTTCGCATACCCCAAAGTCATCCATATACTTTTTTTAATTTTAGTATTCTAACAATTTTGCCAACAATTTTTTTAAATATTTAATGAAATATAAATAATTAATAATATTTAATATTAATTATTTTAAAAGCTAATATAGCCGTGTTTCTTTTTTGTTAAGCTACATAAAATAAAAATTATTTTTGCCTGGAAAAAAATTTATAAACAATATTTTTTAATTAAACCGTTTATTTTAATTTGAAAAAATACCAATTTATTTTAAAAATGCAAAGAAATTTTACTAAAAAATGCAAAGTTTGTGGGGCAAAAGAAAATGTTTGTTTTCATTATGGAGTTTGTACATGTAGGGCTTGTGGGTCTTTTTTCCGGTATTTTTTATTAATTTAATTTTAAAATCATGTCTCCCATACTCCGATTTGGACAAATAATATTTCATTTGAAAAAATATGTAGCTTCCGGACTAACCTATGGGCAGTATAGATTGGTCCGGAAATCGGAGTATTGGAGATATGACGGAATTTTGCCAAAAATTTTTTTCAAAAGGCGTTATCTTGAAAACGAAAATCAATGGAAATATAGTTTATGTAAATGTTCAGAAAAAAATACAGACGAAGAATCCCAACCAAATACGGCAAAGTGTAAAAAATGTAGACTTGAAAAGTGTCTTTCTGCTGGAATGAAAAAATTGGGTTTGTCAAAATAAGGGTAAAAAACTGTCCCCTTGAACCCCCAACTGATAATTTACGTTAGCCAATCACTTATATCCGCCGTTATTCCTCCAAATTACTGATAAATTAATGACCTAATCAGTGTTAATCTAACAAATCCCCCATTAACACTTCAATTCTCCAATACTCTCTTAATCACTTCTAATCCTTTTATATTCATCATGGGGATTCAACTGAGGTATAAACAAGGGACCGGAAATACGGTATCCAATATTTAAAAATAATTTTTAATAAAAAAAAGTATTTTAGATGTTGGGTATTTACGTTTTGATATATGCCGCGAGACGGTGAAAAACCAAAAAAATGAAATTAAAGTAAATTTATTTATTTTATAAAGGAATTGGAAAGACTCAGTTACTGCAGACTAGGGTTGTTTTGAAAAGAAATCTTGGAAATTTGTAATTTAAAAAGTTAAAATTATCGAAATCGAGAGAAAAGCATACAAATATCTTTAGCAACATAAAATCTACGGAGATTTATAAAACTAATTTCAAAATTCCCCCATGCCTCCTGCATTATGTTTTATAGCCGAAAGAACAAAAACAAAACAAGAATTAAAATTCTCTCTATTTTTAAGATACCAAATTCCCCAACTGTCACCATAACCATCACAGACCAGAACTCGGTAAACTCAATTTTACCAATTATTGAAGCCAAAAAACGTATTATGCATGGATTTAATGATTTGGATGATATTTTTCTACATGGCCCGATTTTGTTTGAAGAAATAATTTCATCTAATTTTAATATTTTGAGTTTAGTTGAAATTTTTTCGGTAAATTTTAATTTAATTTTTAATGAAAATAATTTTGTTTTAAAGCCAAATCCAAGTCCAATACCTTCTGATGAATTAGAAAGTTTGGAAACTTCAATAGAAAATGAAGGAAACAATCGTTTTCACAAATATTTATTAGTTGACAGACTTTTGTGTTTTGGTATAGCTAAATCTATGCTTTTTTTTGAAAAATTGACTTTATCTGATCAAGTAATAAAATTTTGGATTTAGTCCATATTTCAGTCCTTATTTTAAAATTTTTAGTCAATATTATATGTCCATATTTTTTGATTAATAGTCCATATAAATCCGTTCCCTAACCATAAAAATATTTTTGGAGGGATTTGCCCTTTATAAGAAAAATTAATTTTTATTTTTAAATAATAGATTGCACATCTAAGGCAAATTCATCATTTGTTTAGTTCATTTACAAACACCTACCTAGCTTGGGAATTAGGTTCTGAAACTTGGACACGTAAAGATTGTGTTAAGCCTGCTCTTGGTTTTAAGAATAATAGTGAATATTCACATGATGAAAAGTAAATATTTTTCTATAATTTTACTCAAAATTTTAATTTTATAAATAAAATTCTTCACGGTTTGGCAAATTTACCGCGTTTTTATTTTGGCCATACCTCATTTCATACTCAGCAAAAATTGATAATTCAAACTTTGCTAACATTTAACAGACTAAATTATAAAATTTAAAGGTGTTTACAAGATATGGGACAGACAAACGGGGTGGAAATTTGCCGCACCCGTGTAAAATAATTTTGATAAATTTCTGATTGAAAAGATATGGAATATATTTTTAATTTTTAGGTTGCTTAAATGGGCAGATTATTCACTTACAAAATCTGTCGTTCACTTTAAACGTGTTGCATTAACAAACGTTGAATTTGCTTTGTTAATAGCTATTATTTTTACAAAACCTGGTAAAAATTTAATTTGAAATAAGGGATAATATACCGTATTTTCTAAAATAAGCCCCATGGGGCTATATTTTTCAACTATCCTCCAAATTTGGGCTATATTTTAGGGTGGGGCTCTAATTTAGCATGGGGCTCTAAATTTCAACCTATTTTTCATCTTATAGATTGCCTATTTTTTTAAATTAGTAATTAAAATTTTACAACAAATAACAAAAAAACATTGATATCGCATGCAAAAATTTAAATTATTTTTTTCCATATCATTTATTTATCTTTTACTTTCTACGCGAGTGAAGGTTTTGTCTAAAATTCTCAAAATTTCTGCCCTAAAATCACCTAATATCCAATAACCCTTTGTTCCCTCATAAAATCGTAGGAAAGTATCCTTTCAATCCTTCAACTCTTCTTTAATTCGCCAGTTACTGAGCGTATCAGGGAATCTTATCCCCCATATCCCTCGATTTTCTCCTTGATCGCACTAATATACCTCCTATCAGAAAATTACTCCCAAGATCCTCTCGGGGTAATCTTCACTACGATATCCAGTAACTTTTTTAAAAAAATCTGCTTTGATTCTTGGTCTTTTGCGTTTTGTGTTAAGGAAATTGTCTCTTGCGCTCGCCCCGTTGCCACGATATCCATTTCAATACCTGAATTTGAGTATATTGCTTTTACTCACAGAAATATCACAATATTTCTTCAAATCCCTTCACATTGCCCTCATTCAATATCTCCGATTCCAATAATAACACTTTGTTTACCGATTTGGGATAAAAGTATATTTAAAAAGTAAGGTGGGGCCATATTTTAGGGTGGGGCACTAATTTAGCATGGGGCTATATTTTAGGAAATACGGTAATATTTGAAATAAAGGTGAAGCGCCTAAACATGTCCCTCTTCAAAATTTTTTTAAATTTTTATTTAAATAAATTTTTTTCAAAAAAGATGCTGAAGGCTTGTCTCCCGAAGGAAAAGAATTACTTTATAACGAATCTGCTAAATACACAAATATTTTACTTCGATATAATCAACGAAGATTAGGTTTAATTGAAGGGGCTCAAAGATTGGATGAATGTTGTCGACTAATTTGTCGTAGTATTGAAAATGATTATACTTTAAAGTTAATTATCTCTCATCAACTTAAATATTATTCACTGGGTGTAGATTACTACTTTAAATGTCCAAACTTTTTAAAAAGAATTTTGGAAAAAACTGATTAAATATTAAATGATTTTTAAAAATGAATACTGTATAACTTCTATCAATTTCACTCTCTCGATTGATTACCTCTCTACCGAGGTATTACCATTCTTAATTATTCAATGAATATTCATTATTCAATGAATTATTCAATGAATTTAGAGTAGGTCGAGGCCACGCCAAGGCCGGGGTCCTTGCCCTTTTTCAATCCTCGACCTCGGTTTTGCTGACCTGGGTTATCGGAACCTCATCTCGGTCCACGCCAAGAATCTCGCCGAGGACCGAGGCTAAATATACACCTCTAAAGATTGGCTTTTTTTAGCAGAAATAGAGAATTTTGGTCTATTTTTCTACAAAATATTTTCAAAATTTTGCCCGCCGCGCTAGAAAAGGAAGAAATCTCGTTACTTCTTTCAAAATTTTCTAATGGAAGAAGATGGGTATATCGGAGGATTCGTATGGATTAAGACGGATTCGAATTATTTTTGAAGGGACTCCATTTATTCTCGAACCCTTGACCCGCGGCAAAAATTTGTCCCTCGACCTCGATCTCAGCTTTTCCAGCCTCTGTGATCCTGGACAACGGTTTTTTCATAAAGTCTCGACCTACTAATTAAATACATATTAAATAAATTAAATATTAATTAAATACATAATTACCGTATTTCCTAAAATAGTACTCCCGGGAGTACTATTTTTCAACCCTCCTCCAAAGGGGAGTACTATTTAAGGGGGGAGTGCTAATTCAGGGGGGAGTACTATTTTTCAACCTTCCTCACTGATTTATCTTGGGAAAATTTATTTCAAAATTCTAAATGTCTAAATCAAAAATGGATTTTCATACATGGATTTTCAAAAAAATTGGATTTTCATATATGGATTTTCATACATGGATTTTCAAAAAAATTCCTTTATACTTCGCAAAAAATATCCAAATTATTATAAAAGGCGGGACATTTAAACACAAGTGACTTAAAATAAGGATTATTGAGGGATATCAAGAAGTATATCAGTGGATTTGGAGTGACAACGAGGGATATAAGAGGATTTAAGCAATTAAGAGTGATACATATCGTTGGATTAAGGTGGATATCGAAAAATTTATGGGGATTAAAAAGGATATTGAGAGATTAGTAGGGATGTCAGGAAATTTGGGACTAAATTCTAGGGGATAAAATAGGATATCGTGGCTTTGATGGGAATAAATCTGTCTAGAGATTAACAGTATTAATCACCGATATCCTCTCCCTTTTGTTCTTCCGGTATCCCTTCGAATCTTATGATATCCATACTTGGCGTGATATCAAGGGATCAAATGATGTAAGTTGAATATCAGTGATTTGGATATCTGAAAATTTTCGGATTAGAGTTAGTAAAGAAATATGGTGGATAGAGAAGGATTCACGATTAAATTTTATCTCTTGATCACTCTAAATCAACCAAAATCATCTTATACAGTGCTGGTCAAAAGTATAGCCGCACCTGAAAAAACGGTGTAACTCTGGACTGAGTTAGCCAATTGTTATCAAATTTCGCAAAAAAATATTAGATTAAATGAGAAACATGATAACATTAAAAGTTTTTGAAATTATTAGAAGGAATTCAAAAAAATCAAAATTTTCAAAAAATGCCAGAATTTTTACTGGTCAAAAGTATAGCCACATGTTTTAATGTTTCCAATTTTAGGAACTACTTTATCACCCGAAATCAATCCCTTAATATCCCTCAAATAAATTTTACTCCACCAACTAATCACAATATATCTCCTTAATTCTAAATAAAATAATTCAATTAGTAAAATTTATCCTATTTTATTATTTTTTCAGATATTGGGGAAAATATTTTGTGGGGAGTATTATTTTAAGGGGAGTACTAATTCAGGGGGGAGTACTATTTTTCAACCCTCTCCCAAAGGGGAGTATTATTTAAGGGGGGAGTGCTAATTCAGGGGGGAGTATTATTTCAGGAAATACGGTAATTAAATACATAATTCTAATTAAATACATAATTAAATACATAATTCTAATTAAATACATAATTTAAAAATTAAATACATAATTCTAAATTAACTAAAATAAATTAAATATAAATTAAATAATTTATATTTTAATTAAATAATTAAATATTTAATTAAAATAAAATTAATATAATTAAATACATAATTATATACATAATTAAATACATAATTTAAATACATAATTCTATTTAAATTAAATACATAATTAAATACAAATTAAATACAATAAAAATTAAATAATTAAATACATAATTAAATACATAATTAAAATTAAATACATAATTAAATTATAATTAAATATTAATTAATTAAAATTAAATACAAAATTAAATACATAATTCTATTTTTCTAATTTAATTTGTAAAATAGTATATTTCCTATTTTTAACTTTTCTAAAATTTCTGTTCTCTTTTGTATTCTTAATTAAGGTTGGCGGATCCGGATTCAAAAAAGACCGGATATGCGAAATCAACGGTTCGGATATCGGATCCGGCTATCCGAAGAGTTCCACGTATCTGCCATCCCTTTTTCCTTTTTAATGTAAATTATTTAGTGGTCTGTCAGTTTTCAACATGCATTTATTTTATCTAATTTCACACCCATTTCCGACTGATTATACATATTTCTGGCTGGCTTATCTTTATTTTATCAGCTTTTTAATTTGGGAAATAAATATTAATTACTTTGTTTGTATTGGAAATGAACGACTAGGCGCCCTAGTCTTTTATTCTTACTTGATGTCTAAAAAATAAAAATTATTTTTTAATTCCTTCTTTTTTTTATGCAAGAATTTCTAATCATATAGTCCTTTTAGGAAAAAGAATCATCATATTTAAGGCTTTCAAATGATAAAAAAATTATTAGAAATGATTGAAAGCGCAAAAAATTTGTTAATCGAATGACCGTCATATCCCTCCACATTTCATGGTATCGTCCTTAATCATCATAGGTGTATTCGAACGTGTTTAATTTTAATTTGTCAGCTAAATAAACAATTATTCTAAACAAAAATTTAAATGGATATTATGATGGATATACTGGCGTTAGTTGAAGGAGAATTGGAAGAGGCTAATTATCTGAGAGAGAACGAGAGAGAAACAGATTATTTGAGCTTTTAACGTTCTGAAAACTGAAAAAGAAAAAATTTTTAATTATTTTATTGACTGATTCGGTGTCATGAGGAAATAATGTGAAGTTGAAGAAGGGAGGATGGAATGAATATTAGCTAAAATTTATTTAAACCAGTTGATTAAACACAAAAAATACCCAAATTACCGTAAAAACTGTATTAATTACCCTGGGTAATTATTGTTTCGATCTCTAGCTGGAGGGGGTAATAAAAGCAGGTGGGGTAATTATTTGAGGGAGGGCAATTTTACAGAATTCTACATATATTCTTTTAATATTTTCACATATAATGTACCCCAAAATGGTAGAATAACACCAATGCTTCCTTCCAGGGATATATAAGTTCACGATCGGCATGTATGTATAGAAGTATGTATGGCTCCTATTTATGGAGTTTCGATCTCTCGCTGTAATTATTTGAGGGAGGGCAATTATTGTTTCATCTCCTGCTAAAGGGGGTAATGAAAGCAGGTGGGGTAATTATTTGAGGGAGGGTAATAAATACAGTTTTTACGTTAAACGAAAATTTATATTTTTATCGCTAATCTAAAGGAGTTTTGGAAGTTGTAGCTTTGACGTTAAAACTTTTTTATAAAAAGAAAAACTAAATGGCCAAAAACTAAAATGCCCGAAGATGGCAAATAACCATTTTTAGATTAAAGATAATAAAAATTAATTTTCTTTTTCATTTAAATTTTTGTGTGTTTAGTTAGCTGTTTTGAATTAATTTAAATTTTTTAAATAAAATTTTATTTATGGAATGAAATATTCACTCATAGAAAGATGAGAGAGAAGCTTCTAAATTAACTAAATTGATTAAATCCAATCATTCAAATCAACATTCTCTATCTAATTTTTGTTTAGAAAATTTATTTGTTTATTCAGCTGATAATTTTACGAACCAAAACGTATCTTAAACACGTTCGCATACCCCAAAGTCATCCATATACTTTTTTTTAATTTTAGTATTCTAACAATTTTGCCAACAATTTTTTTTAATATTTAATGAAATATAAATAATTAATAATATTTAATATTAATTATTTTAAAAGCTAATTTTGTTAAGCTACATAAAATAAAAATTATTTTTGCCTGAAAAAAATTTCTATAAACGATATTTTTTAATTAAACCGTTTATATTTTAATTAGAAAAAATACCAATTTAATTTTAAAAATGCAAAGAAATTTTACTAAACAATGCAAAGTTTGTGGGGCAAAAGAAAATGTTTGTTTTCATTATGGAGTTTGTACTTGTAGGGCTTGTGGGTCTTTTTTCCGGTATTTTTTAGTTATTTAATTTTAACATCATGTCTCCCATACTCCGATTTGGACAAATAATATTTCATTTGAAAAAATATGTAGCTTCCGGACTAGCCTATGGGCAGTATATGTAGATTGGTCCAGAAATCGGAGTATTGGAGATATGACGGAATTTTTCCAAAAATTTTTTTTCAAAAGGCGTTATCTTGAAAACGAAAATCAATGGAAATATAGTTTATGTAAATGTTCAGAAAAAAATACAGACGAAGAATCCCAATCAAATACGGCGGCAAGGTGTAAAAAATGTAGACTTGAAAAGTGTCTTTCTGCTGGAATGAAAAAATTGGGTTTGTCAAAATAAGGGTAAAAAACTGTCCCCTTGAACCCCCAACTGATCGATTTCCTTTAGCCAATCTCTTATATCCGCCGTTATTCCTCCAAATTACTGATAAATCAATGACCTAATCAGTGTTAATCCCAAAAATCCCCCATTAACCCTTCAAATCTCCAATACTCTCTTAATCACTTCTAATCCTTTTATCTCCCTTCATGGGGAACTGAGGTGTAAACAAGGGACCGGAAATACGGTATCCAATATTTAAAAATAATTTTTAATAAAAAAAAGTATTTTAGATGTTGGGTATTTACGTTTTGATATATGCCGGGAAGCGATTGAAACTCAAAAAAATGAAATAAAAGTAAATTTATTTATTTTATACAGAATTAGAAAGACTCAGTTACTTCTGTTAAAATTCTCTCTATTTTTAAGATACCAAATTCCCCAACTGTCACCATAACCATCACAGACCAGAACTCGGTAAACTCAATTTTACCAATTATTGAAGCCAAAAAACGTATTATGCATGCATTTAATGATTTGGATGATATATTCCTTAATGGCCCGATTTTGTTTGAAGAAATAATTTCATCTAATTTTAATATTTTTCGTTTAACTGACACTTTTTCGGTAAATTTTAATTTAATTTTTAATGAAAATAATTTTGTTTTAAAGCCAAATCCAAGTCCAATACCTTCTGATGAATTAGAAAGTTTGGAAACTTCAGTACAACGTGAAGGAAACAATCGTTTTCACAAATATTTATTGGTTGACAGACTTTTGTGTTTTGGTATAGCTAAATCTATGCCTTTTTTTGAAAAATTGACTTTATCTGATCAAGTAATAAAATTTTGGATTTAGTCCATATTTCAGTCCTTATTTTAAAATTTTTAGTCAATATTATATGTCCATATTTTTCGATTAATAGTCCATATAAATCCGTTCCCTAACCATGAGTATATTTTTGTGGTTCCGTGACTTTTGCGCCGAGAACATTTGCGCCGCGACTCTTGCGCCGCGACTTTTGCGCCGGGGGACTTTTGCGCCGCGACTTTTGCGCCGGGCGACTTTTGCGCCGCCACTATCATTAAAAATCTTCGGATATCCGGCCTTTTTCGGCTCCGGATCCTACAACCCTTCGATATAATGCATCCTCTTGGGCCTGAAAATCATGCCGGAATAGGGTTAGCAGATATAGGCAAATTTCCTTAACCGAAAAAGTCAGCACATCATAAATCATTTGTGATATCGAATCCGGGGAATTCCAAGACCTAGACCTAATTCATCATTGATGGTCCAGACCTAATTCATCAGCTACCATACCCCCATTGTACTTCCTGAACTTCCTTCAGTTCCTGGATACCATTTTTTAACCTCGAGGGGTACAATAAAGTGAGGTCGGATTGTAGTTTTTGTTTTATTTTTTTGAATTAATGGCGGCGCAAATGTCGCGGCGCATAAGTCGCGGCGCAAAAGTCCCTCGGCGCAAAAGTCGCGGCGCATAAGTCGCGGCGCAAATGTTCTCGGCGCAAAAGTCGTGATACCATTTTTGGAGGGGTCTGCCCTTTATAAGAAAAATTAATTTTTATTTCTCTAAAATAGATTGCACATCTAAGGCAAATTCATCATTTGTTTAGTTCATTTACAAACACCTACCTAGCTTGGGAATTAGGCTCTGAAACTTGGACACGTAAAGATTGTGTTAAGCCTGCTCTTGGTTTTAAGAATAATAGTGAATATTCACATGATGAAAAGTAAATATTTTTCTATAATTTTACTCAAAATTTTAATTTTATTAATAAAATTCTACACGGTCTGGCAAATTTACCGCGTTTTTATTTTGGCCATACCTCATTTCATACTCAACAAAAATAGATAATTCAAACTTTGCTAACATTTATCAGACTAAATTATAAAATTTAAACGTATTTAAAGAGAGATATGGTACAGACAAAAGGGGTAGAAATTAGCCGGAACCTCGTAAAATAATTTAAAAAATTTTTAATTGAGAAGATATGGAGTTTTTTTTCAGGTTGCTTAAATGGACAGATTATTCATTTACAAAATCTGTCGTTCACTTCAAACGTGTTGCATTAACAAACGTTGAATTTGCTTTGTTAATAGCTATTATTTTTACAAAACCTGGTAAAAATTTAATTTGAAATAAGGGTTTATGGATATGGTAGAGCTAAGGCTAGGAGCTCACGCTAGCTTTAGAGCTTTAGAGGAGCCTTAGAGCTCACGCCTAAAGGCTGAAGCGCCTAAACATGTCCCTCTATCGCAATTTTTTTTAATTTTTATTTAAATAAATTTTTTTCAAAAAAGATGCTGAAGGCATGTCTGTTGAAGGAAAGGACTTAATTTATAACGAATCTGTTAAATATACAAATATTTTACTTCGATATAATCAACGAAGATTAGGTTTAATTGAAGGGGCTCAAAGATTGGATGAATGTTGTCGACTAATTTGTCGAAGTATTGAAAATGATTATACTTTAAAGTTAATTATCTCTCATCAACTTAAATATTATTCACTGGGTGTAGATTACTACTTTAAATGCCCAAACTTTTTAAAAAGAATTTTGGAAAAAACTGATTAAACATAAATGACATTTAAAAATATCTATCAATTTCACTCCCTCGATTAATTTCCTTTCTATCGAAGTGTTACCCAGAGTAATTATTCAATGAAATTAGAGTAGGTCGAGTTTGAGGCAACGCCAAGGTCTACTTCACTTTAAAATTCCAATCCAACTTTACGAGTCCAATCAAAAAATAATTTGTTTTTTCTTGGTATTGCAAAGTAGGGTATGGTTCCAAAACATTTCTTTATTTTAGAGACCTACACCCACTGGGTCTGGTACCATTCCTTACCTTATCCCTCGAAATTTCTGAAAGTTATAGCCAATTTTTAAAAATTTCAGAAAAACGATTATAACTTTTAGAAATTTTAAGGAATGGGGTAAGGTAGTAAATTTAATTAAATTTCGAAGTTTTATTTAAAAAATTTTAAAAACTCCATTTATTCTCGAACTCTTGACACGCGGCAAAAATTTGTCCCTCGACCTGATTACTGCTTTTCCAGCCTCTGTAATCCTGGGCATCGGTTTTTTCATAAAGTCTCGACCTCGTCCTACTCTAAATTAAATACATAATTCTATTATTCCGATGTAATTTGTAAAATATATTTCCTATTTTTAACTTTTCTAAAATTTCTGTTTTCTTTTGTATTCTTAATTAAGGTTGGCGGATCCGGATTCAAAAAAGACCGGATATGCGAAATCATCGGTTCGGATATCGGATCCGGATATCCGAAGATTTCCAAGTATCTGCCATCCCTTTTTCCTTTTTAATGTAAATTATTTAGTGGTTTGTCATTTTTCAACCTGCATTTATTTTATCTAATTTCACAACCATTTCCGAACTCTTATTTTTTTCTGTTCACTAGAGCTGTCCGAGACCGAAATTTTTCCAAGACTCAAGACCAAGACCTTAACTCCAAGACTCAAGACCGAAAATAATACAAGACTCGAGCCAATTTTTAGTTCCCATAGGTCAATTTTTTGGTTTATGAGACCAAGACCGAAAAAAAACCAAGAAAAGTCTTGGGACCAAGACCAAGAGTCTCGGACAGCTCTACCGTTCACTGTTGGTTTATTCTGGTTATTAATATTGTGTTGATTTTATGTACTTGGCTTACTCTTTTCTGGCTAGCTTATCATTATTTTATCAGCTTTTTAATTTGGGAAATAAATATTAATTACTTTGGTTGTATTGGAAATGAACGACTAGGCGCCCTAATCTTTTATTCTTACTTGATGTCTAAAAAATAAAAAAATTCTTTCTTTTTTTTATGCAAGAATTTCTAATCATATAGTCCTTTTAGGAAAAAGAATCATCATATTTAAGGCTTTCAAATGATAAAAAAATTATTAGAAATGATTGAAAGCGCAAAAAATTTGTTAATCGAATGCCCGCATATCCCTCCACATTTCATGGTATCGTCCGTAATCACCATAGGTGTATTCGAACGTGTTTAATTTTAATTTGTCATCTAAATAAACAAATATTTAAATAAAAATTTAAAGGGATATTATGAGGGATATACTGGTGTTAGTTGAAGAAGAATTGGAAGGGGTTAATCCTCTGAGAGAGAACGAGGGAGAGAAAAGATTAGTTGAGCATATACGTTAATTGCTGCAGTATTTTTCTTTTACCTGATTTTGTATCTACAATTAGCTCTTTTAATATTAATAATTAAAAAATTTTTTATCAATTTGACAAAAACTTATCTTTTTTAGATAGAGTAGCAAGAGGTCGAGATATTTTAAATAACCTAGGCCAAGAATCAACAAGGGTGTGATCAACCACCCATCAATCAACATGGGTGGTCGAGTGGCGATTTCCAGCTAAATGCCTTCTCCAATAGAGGGGAATCCTCCACTCCAATATTTAAGGATTTGGAGATATCTATTAATATACCCAAAATAATAGAATACTCCTTTTTAATTAAGAAATTTTTTCTTAAAAATATCCTCCATATCAGTTACATAGGTATAGAAATAATTTTGGTCAGGTTTTTGATTATATTTTCGATAATTTCTCGTGTTTAAAAAAAGACTAGGTATCGGGACTAGGTAACAACAATTTTTATAACCTTACGACTCGCGCCTTACAGCGCGACCTGTGAGCTGCGCCGTATATCTCTCATTTTTAAATTTTCCTTTTGAATTTTTGGAAGGAATTGCCATGTAAATGTTCTGAATAAAAATTTAATTCTTTTATTGACTAATTGGATATCATGAGGAAATAGTGTGAGATTGAGTAGAGAGGATGGAAAAATGGGAGTTGGTGTACGAAATTGAATAATACCAAAAATTTATTTAAAACAGCTAATTAAACACAAAAAATATCCAAGTTAATCGAAAATTAATTTTATTATCGCTAATTTAAAGTAGTTTTGAGAGTTATAGCTTTGACGTTAAAGCTTTTTTAGAAAAGGAAAAATTCTTTTTGGATTGATTTTTGAACTTAAATAAGTTGTGGACATGAATAATTAGTGGAGTTTAAAAACTTGAAGGAACTCAGTAGAAACGTCCAAGACTTTTAGTCTTGATTCTTAACTCAAGAAGTTCCTTGGAGGTTTTTTGTCTTGGTATTGTGTTAAATTCTTGGTCTTGCAAAGATCCTATTTGTCTTGAATTTTAGAAAACATTTAGTTCTGTCATCTCTAGAAAACAGTGTCGGAAGTAAAAAAAATCGTCCATATCTGATACTGGGGAAGTCAAATTAAAAAAATATTTGAAACAGTGAAAGAGAATTTGAAAGAAAAATAATTTTTTAAATAAAATTAAAAAATATTTTGTGGAAATAATGAGAGAAAATTTTTATTTTTACTTACTATTCTATTTTATTTTATTTTTACTTTTATTTTCTATTTTCATAATTATCATTTATGGTTTGATATTAAATTTATTTAGGTACATTTACATATCATTTTTTATATATTTCATTAAAACCTGCTTAAAACTTCTCACCAAATCTAAACTTCTCACCAATTTTTCAGTGTTGAATGCAGGCATAACGCTAGTCAAAATGCTCGATGATGGCAAATAACCATTTTAGATTAAAGATAATAAAAATTAATTTTCTTTTTCATTTAAATTTTTGTGTGTTTAATTAGCTGTTTTGAATTAATTTAAATTTTTTAAATAAAATATTCATTCATGGAAAGATGAGAGAGAAGCTTCAAAGTTAACTAAATTGATTAAATCCCATAATTCAAGTTAACTTTCTTCTCTTTAATTCTTGTTTAGAAAATTTATTAGTTTATTCAGCTGATAATTTTAGCGAACTAAAATTGAAATTAAATACGTTCGTATACATCAGAATCATCCACATAATTTTTTATATTTTACTGTTAGATATTAACTATTTTGCCAAAAAAATTTTTTATATTTAATGATATTTAATTTTAATTATTTTAGAAGCTAATAGAGCCGTGTTTATTTTTTATAAGGCTAAAATAAAAATTATTTTTTCCTGAAAAAAATTTCTATAAACTATATTCATTAGTTAAACCGTTTATTTAATTTTAATAAAATATCCTTAAAAGTCTGATAATATTTTTTCTAGAAAAAATACCAATTTAATTTTAAAAATGCAAAGAAATTTTATTAAAAAATGCAAGGTTTGTGAGTCAACAGAAAATGTTGGTTTTCATTATGGAGTATGTACATGTAGGGCTTGTGGGGCTTTTTTCAGGTATTTCTTAATAAAATTTAATTTTGAAAAATTTTTTTCATAAGGCGTTATATTGAAAACGAAGGAGAATGCAAATATAAATGTAAATGTTTGCCAAAACAATTGTTGAAAGAGAATAAAGACGGAAAATCTGAAACAAATTCGGCAAAATGTAAAAAATGTAGACTTGAAAAATGCCTTTCTGTTGGAATGAAAAAATTGGGTTTGTCAAAATAAGGGTCTGAAAGTCATCCCCGACCTTCTACATACTCCCAATCCCCGATACTCTCGACCACACAGGATACCCTAGTTAAAATATTTAAAAATAATTTCGAAAAGGTTATTTTAGATGTTCGATATTTACGTCACGATATATGCCAGGAAGGAATGAGAGAACAAAACAATGAAGTTAATGTAAATTTATTTTTTTAATTGGAAAGTAAAAGTCTGATTTATTTTTGAAGCTTTCAAATCCCCCAACTGTCGACATAACCATCAAAGACCAGAACCTGATAAACTCAATTTTACCAATTATTGAAGCCAAAAAACGTATTATGCATGCATTTAATGATTTGGATGATATATTCCTTAATGGCCCGATTTTGTTTGAAGAAATAATTTCATCTAATTTTAATATTTTTCGATTAACTGGCACTTTTTCGGTAAATTTTAATTTAATTTTTAATAAAAATTTTGGATTAAAGCCAAATCCAAGTACAATATTTTTTGATGAATTAAATAGTTTGGAAACTTCAGTACAAACTGAGAGAATAGTTAATAGTAGAGTTGAAAAATGCATTTTAGTTGACAGACTTTTGTGTGTTGGTTTAGCTAAATCTATGCCTGTTTTTGAGAAATTGACTTTATCTGATCAGGTGTTTTATGTTCTATTTTTTTAGTACCCAATAAGTAGGGAACGGATTTATATGGATTTCCATATTTTTTTCCTGGCCTAGTTGGGTCTTAAAACGTCCAAAAAACATAGTTTTAGCTAGAGTTGGACAAGACGAGACCGATACCGAGATTCTCGGCTTTTTTCCAATATCGGTCTCGGTTTTTTCATTCTCGGTCTCGAAACCGATACCGATATTCTCGGTCCATTTCTCGGCGAGAAACGATACTGACTCAGAGACCCCAATTTTCTTTTATTTTCTAATAAAACAGAGGATTTTTGACCTTTGGCCTTATGAATTTCACAAAATTTTCGCCTGCGGCGCTGAAAAGAGTGAATCCTTCTTTATTTGCCTTGCAAAATCCGAGCGTTTCACTAAGCCCTCACGATTGAATTCGCACGACTGGGTTGCCCTTTATCTAGCTCAACTAAGTCCCAGTAATTTAAAAATTAAAAGGCTTAAAT